CTAAGAGACTGTGATGGTTTAGGAATGGAGTGTAGTGTTGCGGATAGGTATTCAAAGCGATGGAGACAGGTTAATTGTTTAGCCAATACCTTCTGGCGTCGATGGATAAAAGAGTACATTCCTTTACTGCAAGTAAGGCAGAAATGGTTTTGCAAACACAGAAACTTAAAAGAAGGTGATGTAGTTCTAGTGGCTAACGATGCAACTACTCGGGGCTCATGGCCAATGGGACGGGTTGATAAGTGCGAGACAGATAGAGATGGGTTGGTAAGAACAGTGATGGTGTGAATGAGAGAAGGTGTAGTAAGAAGAGATGTGCGAAAGCTCTGTCTTCTAGAGGGAGCCGAGTAATTGTGGATTGTAGCTTAGGTTTATGGATGTACAGGCGTACTGTTGTAAGTCCTGTGCCTCCCATTGATATAGAGCAGTTAGTAAGGAGAGCCATGACAGAAATGTATTCTAAGGTGTCATTGCGTAGCTGGAGGGATTTTGGGGGCCGGTGTAACGGAAAAAGAACAGTGAAAATCCCTCTGCAGCTTCTTTGTTGAACAGTATTTTCATTTATTTGTTCCTTCTCTCTTTTGTGTATTCCAACCTTTGTTTCGACCTCGTTTAACCATGTCTTTTGTTCTTCAGTCTTCCCCGTTTGAGCCTTTATTATGTGATTTTGATTAAAGACTTATTTTTGTTACCTAATTTTCTATTGCATGTTGCCGGACCATTGACAGTAAGGTTGTGTTTGACTAAGCTCAAGGTCACGGCGTGGTTCGTTTTGTGACTGTTAACCCTCTGACTGTCTGCTTGGGAGAATTGCTGCAATCCCTGCAGATAGATATTTGATCCCATCTTATTGGGAATATTTGTATTGATTCTCAGGTATCAAACCCTTTAGTATTAACTGTCTCTTTCATTGTTTAGCGCGCTACTTTGCGTTAGAGAAACTTCTGACTGTATAGCACAGGCTGTACCGTTTGAGGTATTTTGTATTTTTGATGTAATTTGTTCTGTTTTCTTAATTAGAACCGTTTATATTGAGCACAGAGTTTGTGTTTTGATATAATATAATACGAGTATCTCAAAGACGCGTTGTGAGCTATACAGAGGAACTTGGTCTGGTCTAATCGAATAAATTTTGGGTTCGTCAGTCCGTTGTTCCAACCGAATATTGGCTGTTCGGTCGTTACAGTGTCGGTATTGTTTGAGGTAAACAAAGTTCTCCAATCAGTGATTCTTAGGTAATTGTGGAAGTTATTCCAATCAACCTTGCGATAGTTTCTACGAAGTGTTACGGTTTTACTTCTATCGGTTGTGGTTTTTACATTAAGGCTGCATATGACAATGGTATGATCACTACCTGGGAACTTTTTTCCAATATACAAAGTATTGGGGATGAGGCCACTGGTAAAGACTAAGTCTAAGATGTTTTGATGTCTGGTAGGGCTATCGACATACTGAGTCCATTGTCCAAGTTCTAGACATTCAATAAATGATTCATAACGTCTCGGCGCTTTGACTGGCAGCCAAGAAATTTCGGGCATATTGAAGTCACCACAAATGAGCTTGCCTGTGAATGAGAGGGATGATGCTAGTGTGAATACCTCCGATAATACTGCTATTTCATCTATTGATGTGTTAGGTTGACGATAAACACAGCCGAGCAGTAAGGTAACGGAATTCGACGGCTTTAATACAATCCACACCGAATCCTTCAGTTTGTTTAGTTCAGGCATATCACATAGCAGTGAGTTCAGGCTACAGTGAGCGTAAATAAGGCATCCTCCGCCTCGTCCATTCAATCTATCGCTTCTATATAGGGAATAGTTATCTAGAGATATGCTTCGGTCGGAAATATTACTGTTAGTCCATGCTTCAGATATCATAATAACTGATGGTTGATATATGGATACAAACAGGGCTAAATCCGTCTTTTTGTTGCAGATCGATCGAGCGTTGATAAGACATATATTAAGCAAGTGGCCTACTAAGTTAAAATGGGTGAGGGTATTTCGGATAAAGTCGTCGTAACCCTCGCGAGTGTAAGATGAGTTTGATGTGAGGGATTGGATGTTCTTCATTAGCTCGGTATTTTGATAGTTAAACTTATTGGGAGATGTATCAAATGAGCTGGTGAAGTTGATTGGGGAGTTTACCCAGGAGGAAAGGGTGGGAGTACTCTGTGATGGAAACTGTACGGAGGAAACAAATTTATGGTTTGCATGTGGTTTGAAATAACCTGGGCTATATGCTTCAACAGAGGTGTCACTAGGGGTCTTATTCCAAAAAAATCTTGCACAGGCCTACTGTGAAGTGTATGGTTATTTGCAAAATAGTCTTGATGGTTAGACTCGTAGCCCCTGTTATGGCTATTTACGTTAGTGCGAGAGGGGTCTGCTACGCGTAACTGGGAGGAGTTGCGACTGTTGTTATACATGGGAGCCGTCGTTATGTGATGGGTCGGCACTAAAGGGTATGAGAAGTTTTCTTTTTGAGAGTAATTACAGTTGCGATCCTGGGGAATGTAGGTAGGGTGTGGAGTTAGAAACCTATTATTACCGTTCTTATTTATGGTTTTAGGCTTCAGGGGGTGATTTGGGTGGCCAGTTCTCTGGTAGTTTTCGTTAGTCTGCGTGTAAGAAGGCTTGCTACGTTGAAGCCCACCACCCTTTTTGCAACTTGGAGGTGTTGAAGGCAAGTTATACGATAGCAGCGGGGAGAACCTGTTCACTGTTCTTGGGATACCTATAGAGCAGTTGGGTTCAATCTTACGTGTTTCCCTATTCGGTATCATGAGTTTTGTCTTCCCACCCTTTATTTTCAGAGCAGGATTCTTTCGTTGTCTTTGTGAGATGAACTTACGTTCATTCAAGTCTACTTGTGGAATGTCTTTAGGAGAACAAATTTTCAAGTGTATAGGCTTAGTTGCACATGTGTTGTTACACGACTCACATTTTAGTACATTACTGAATGAACAGCTGGGATTAGTCATGTCGTTATGGTTTTTGGTGTCAGTTGGGGTCCGTATCTTATCCAAAGGTTTCTGATCTGTAGACTCATCTAGATCAACAGAGTGATCAGCCGTATGTGGAGTGGTGTCATGCTTACTGTTCATGTTCTTTAATCTATTTACTATGTTGCAAACTGTCTCTGGGTGGTTATTTACTGTAACACTCCCATGCAATCCTATCGCTTCACGTCTTCTTACACGACGTTGACAGGGCGTAAGGTCTGGAGTGACTTTTATATTTTTGTATGGAATTAGTGAGCTAATGTTTTTGCTCAAATCAATAAACTGCTTAGCATCGTTACAACAGCCAAACATAAACAAGAGGGGGCAAGTCGATCTGTCTGACTTTTTTCTAAGGCGGATGACTTTGCAGTTAACGTTCGGCATACCGCATGCTCTAAGGCAAATATCTCTTAACTTAGATGGGTGTGTGCGGTCGGGGAGGTTATACACAACTGCATTGAAGGAGGACATTACTCTCTTCGTCACTTCTTCAGCCACAAACTCCAAAATACACTCAGCTTTAGTGAGTTGCTCAAGATTTCTGTCTGTATCAAGGCCCCATATATGAGTGAGGGGTGCTAATTGCTCAAGTTTGCCGTTAATTTCGGATAGAGAGTTTTGTAGCTGTCGGATGTCATTACTATATCTATCAGTATTTTGGTGCGTATGAGGTGGACCATTGGACTCTTTAGTTTTTGAAATTTTAGACTTAGGCCTTGGTAGCACATACTGTTTAGTAGACTGTGCTGACTTTTCAATGCACGTAGGTATAGTGTGTTGTATGTCAACCAGTCTTACCGTTGGCATACTGCACGTAAAGATAGAGGGGCTGCGACATGGAGAATCTGGTGACGATAGGGACATTTGTGTACAATGCACATATTTTTCAGTAGTTAAAGGTTCGACATTGTCAAGCACTGAGTCGTCAGTTGTAGGGGTTAAAGATTTGGACCTTTTATTTGGCTTAGAAGTTGGTGAAATTCCTCTTTTACTGGAGTTATTGGACATGATATGAATATAAGTGAGCACAGTGCTCGTTAAATTAAATATAATATCTGAGTATTAGTTGTTATTAAGTATTAACCTAGTTAATACTAGGATTAGAGACTGTGAGTATATAATAAATTGCAGACCTATTTACGACTTAAGTCCGCAATAGGTACAATACGAACTGGTAAATGTCCGTCGAATAAAAATAAGTTTTTTCTTATGTTTCGAGGTGAGATGTTCCCGATGTACAGGATAGGATGATGACCACAGTATAATACACTCTACAAAAGAGCAAGTCGAAGAATTCCTAAACCACGAGTCTTCATCGACTGAGATGGTTGGGCTACGTGTTGAGTGTGCCTGAACACCGATTACCACGACGTGCAATGCTAACGGGTGTTGGGGATGGTTGGAAGAAAGTTAGGGGTGGCCAAACCAAAACGTGGCATTAGTGCTTGAAGACACTAACACCTGGTCTGAGCCATGTTGGTAGATGCAGACTACTCAATTAGGGTCCACGTGACTATCGTAACCAACGGTTGTAGACTCTTGGTGAGATGGCTCAGAATCGATCACAGTGGCGTCGGTGTATACACTGTCTGTCTTCCCTTAAACTAAGAGATTAAAATCGCTTCATATCTTCCTTTCTATGTACTAAATCTTTCTTCCTGTACTATATCCTTATATGCAATCTTTCATATATTGGCACTATTGACTTAACTACTCCTATGAATCCGGTGTTCATCTTGCTGTGCTAATGCGGTATGGGAACTTGGATCGATGCATATATGTGCCTGGTCCTACGTTGTACCCGACTGACTGACTGATTGACTGATGTTATTGGTTCACACCAAAGATTTTTTATACAGATGATACATGTATCTGTAACCTAATAAATTTAACTTAGTGTATTGTACGACTCTCTGGTTGGTTTTCGAGTTACACAGTTTTGTAAAATCTATTTTCTTTAGTTTTATAATTAACTGAAGGAAATGCTCCCATTTTATTCATTCTACGATCATTAGTTTACAGATGGTGTCTTACTTATTCTATTTAATGGGTCTTATTGATGGCTATTTTGTAGCATTTCATGCATATCATCCAACACCAACAACAGAAGAATTGTGTACATCAAATGTTAAACTAGCCTTTGAACTTATTCAAGCAGCTGGTATGGTTGAACCTCCAGCAAAACTTGAAGAAATTGTTGCAGGCGATAGCAGTGCTGTATTACTCGTGTTGTATGGCATCTACTCATATTGTGCACATATGGAGGATGAACAACGTCGGTATGAAATAAATAATATTCGGGAACAAGGTGAGATGGATGAATATTACGGTAATAACCAGAAACCTTCTGTACAACATGGTCTAATTAATTTATCGTGAAGTATATGTAACTGTGATAATATGTCTCTGCTGTTTTCTGTGATGTTAACATTTTAAAAATTACCGTGGAATAAAATGCGTTACCACTGGAGTGATTTACTTTTAATAAATAACAGATTACCGTTTGATGTTCTTTAGTTACTTTCTTTTTAGAAACAATAAACAATAAAATGAATTTGTATGTAAGTACTCCATTATATTATTTCTCTCTCTCTCTCTCACACACACACACACTCCTTTGCGAATCTACGCTCTGCAGTCTGACATTTTTTACACCAATAAACGTTCTGATGTCAGTTTTGTAGTTATCTACATTATTTTTTTGCGGTTAATCGTTTTACTTTCCCAAATATTGATGTTAGTTTCAATTTCTAGATACGATAATAAAAGCAATAACTTTGAAAAGATTCATTTATGATTATGTTCCTTTTGGTTAACTGATAGTGTAGTTTATTATTTTTCTCCGCGCTATGTAGTTTTATTGTATATTGTATAAGTTTTCTGCGCCCGTGGGTTTTATCTCACTGAATGTATTCATTACTACCAAATAGAATGGGGTTTTGTTTTTCTAGACGTTTATTTCTTGCTCTTATTACAACGTTTACGTTATATACCATTTCATTGGACAAATATATGAAATAATCATGCCTACATGTATACAAACGGAATATCTTAAAGAGATCAACTTTAGACAACAGTCATCTGTTAACATCGAAAAAGATTTGTCTTATAAAGAAAAAATTGAAAGTTCAACATCAGAGAGTGATTTGAATTTCACAATAAGCATTCGTAAAAATAGTTTGTTCATTTACAAGTTCTATTCCCAATCCAGTTCATGATTCAAGTTACACTAAATATTTTATTCGCACAACAAATGTTTACATGGGCTTCTGATTATTATTTCATACTAACTTAAGCCCCATAACATTGTGCACTACATTCGCTTTTCGTGAAAACAATTAGGCAGCCATGTAAGTGATGCTCACTTCGAGGCAGCGTGGAATGATATTAGAAAAGCTGTGGAAACAGCAGTGGCATCTGCTTAACTTCGGAACTACTTCAGTGGTTCCAACATGCGCGGGTAGTGATTTCATGATAATTTTGACCAGATTATTGTAATGCAAACATAGTTTATATTCCAAGAAAACACCCTACACTAGTAATGCAGTACAGATCGAAACACTGAACAGCACACCTGTTTTTTGTTTTTAACAAGCACTTGTGGGGAAGATGAATCAACTTGATGAAAATGAAATCGATAACAAGATTTCACCAACTATGAAATAACCAAGGTTGCACAGACTTCTAACACAAGTGACGACAACTACACACACACACTCAACTTTACTGGCAACTGTCGACCTAACCATTGAGATAAACAAGTTGCAAGGCAGTATTCTGAGTTTAGATGTATAAGATATCGCCCAGATATTTTCGGATTACCATGTAGACCGTACGGAAGAATTAAGTTTCTGTTCAACATGACTATATTATATTATCTGCATGGTATCGGTTTTCGAGTAGTGTACCCACAACAAACGTCAATGAAGTTGGCAACGCTACAGAATTTCTAAAACATTGTGAAACAGTTGTCAAAATAATAATATGGACTATACTATTGTGTCATTAAAAAGACTATGAATGTGGTAAATAAACATTTCCGTTGAATCTGAATACAGTACATTTTTAATATAAAATGAATATTTAATTATTAATGAAAAAGTATTACGATAGTTGTGGTTATAGTTTTGATGAATCATTCTGTTTAAAAATTAGGGGAAATACTGAAAGAATTTATGTTGTTTAATAGAAGAAGATTGGTGAAGATTACAGATTGTTTCTAATCATAATATAATATTTAGTAAACCAGATAACACTACATCAATCATGATGAAAACTTGATTTGCAGAGAAGTTTAAAAGATGTAAGAGTAAGGTGTATTTCTGAAGAGTATTGATATGATAAGGAAGGTCTTAATACGTTGTAGAGTTAAACACCTTCAAAATTGATTTACTATACTCGCCTATAGTATTGGATTATACTTATTTTTCTGGCAATACTTTGTACATCAACGTGTTATTTTATTTTTTTAAAAATATCTCTTCTAGTGGGCAGTTGTCTTGGTTTTTGATATCAGCTTATTGAAGAGCTACATCAATATTTCGGTCACAGGAGTATCTATCACCTGGGTACATTTCATTTACTATTCAGGATTTTACCCGTGCACCACTCATAATGAATTACGGAAACATAACAAGTGAAAGTCACCGTATTATTCTCGTGAACATAATCACCACATATGTTTATGAATAATAGTTTTAATAGAGATCTGAAAATGAAAATGTTGTTGCTTAATATAATAGGGAACTTGCGAAATAACAAAATGACTGAACTGACGCATAACCTAGGACAGCAAGGCAACACTTTATATCAACGAAATTCGAAAGTGTGAAGTAAGTGTAAAAGTAATTATAAGGGCAGAACATTGCGGTGCAAGAAAGCGTTATCAATGAGAAATTATGAATGTGGAGTAAAAATAAAATACTTGCATTTGCAATGGGACCATCGGACATAAGCTTCTCAGTGCGGGCTTCAACAAGTTCATTGAATTCCTGGCGTTTGCGATTTGCCACCTCACCAGACGAAATCGATTTCCTGCCACGAACGCCTGACGATTTTGCATGTGTTTTTATACTTATAGTGGAAGTTTTGGAACTCTTAGTTGAGGCAGCAACTCGTTGTAACTTTGGACCGTTTTCCGACTCCGCTGTACTAGTTGATAGACATGAAGGGATTTGTGGAGATATGACTGACAAGCTTATTTTGTGAATAGTTTTTAATATTATTGGTATTTGTTTGTCAATTTTTCACTGTTTTGACATTTATCATTAAATGAGTGAACATGTTGTTTTAGTCAATGACCTTGAACACATTTTCCGTTGAGCAACTACTTAGCGTGACATATTGGTTCTGGTTAACAAATACATTACTACTCACGCATTCCTCGTTCTATCTTCATTTGTGATTGAATTAATGGAAGTCTAAATCAAATACTATCTACATCCTACATCTATTTACACTGCTATTTTTTCCACTGACCCTGCTCACGCTCATTTATCAACCGTCTTCTCTAGTTAAAGCATTCCAGGTCACCGAATGTTCAGGCTTCAGTCTCCAGTAATAAGGATAGTAGGTTGATGAACCTGTGTTAATCCTGATACATTGCTTTCCAGTAAAGGTCCAGCTTTTCTTGAAAGTATTCATTGATGGGGCTAATATCACTTGTTCGGGTAAGGCGATTACTTGATGCTACACTGGAAACTGCATAATGTAGCTGATAATCCTACTGGAAGATTAAGCCTGCTTTAAATACTCAGTTAACGGGATGGCGCATATATATAGGCGCTTTCTTGTAACAATATTCATGTGTTCAAATAAATAAATAAATCTTATAATTATTATTCATTGGAATCAGATATAAAGGAAATTAGCTTGAACAAAGTTGGTTGATGAGCAGCAGCAGCAGCAGCATCAGCAGCAGCCGCAGTGACATTTGGAACATGCACCATTTTTGTCTACAAAGTCTGCATATTTAAAGCCAAAGTGACAGTTTTATTATTCGGTGAGTCTCATGTATGTATTTATTGTTGTTATTTGTTAATTCCTCATATTGTATATTTCAATGCTGAGCTTATTGTTATTGGTGTTGTTATTATTTCTTGGTATCATGTTATTTGATAATTGACTGAACCTTTTATGTAAGTGTATTCCATGGGTGCCATCTCTGTAGCTTTACCTGTATTTAATGCTCTAAAGTGTGAACTATGGTTTGCACGCTTAGAAAGTTGTTTTGCTTTGTGTTGTTGGAAAGAGAATTACAAGTGAGAGCAGGAAATTTAGTTAGACAAAGTGGTTGCTGCCGGACAACGTTATTGAATAAGTGCCTGGTGTTAATTTTAAGTAGGATGTTGACTCACCATACGAGTCGCACCCACATCATAGCTGTTCACAATCACTCCAGTCACACCATAACCACCAGGTGACACTCTGCACATTCTCACAGCGTTCCGTGTCACTTGAACACTTGGTGCAATGCACAACACCGACCACTGGAACTGCCTTACCTAGTCACATTCACAGACAACATGGTTTCACAGTATGCTACTACTCTGATGTATGCTGATCAGTGTATTCCTAGTTGTTCCTCAAATATATACTCAGCTTGGCTATCATCACTAAGTACAACCCTAACAGGCTTTCTTGCAGCATCTTTCCTACGTCCAGTAAGACGCATACAAATACGTGCTCGTACTAGAGGATCATGTGAATCCAAACATGTGCTTCACAACAAGCGTCAGTCTTCTATTCAGCCTCTCCACCGATGGCTGATAGGAATACACTGATCAGCATACATCATAGTAGTAGCATACTGTGAGACCATGTTGTCTGTGAATGTGACTAGGTAAGGCAGTGCCACTGGTCGGTGTTGTGCATTGCACCAAGTGTTCAAATGGCACGAAACGCTGTGAGAATGTGCAGAGTGTCACCTGTTGGTTATGGTGTGACTGGAGTGATTGTGAAGAGCTATGATGTGGGTGGGACTAGGTAAGGCAGTGCCACTGGTCGGTGTTGTGCATTGCACCAAGTGTTCAAGTGACACGGAACGCTGTGAGAATGTGCAGAGTGTCACCTGTTGGTTATGTTGTGAGTCGAGTGATTGTGAACAACTGTGATGTGGTTGGGACTCGATCCGGCGCCCATTAACACTGCAGGACAGATCCAACGCCTTAGACCACTCGACCACAAGAAAAAGTGATAGGAAATGCACATTTCTTTTACTTTAACCTCCATTTATCCCACTCATATCCATCTTCATCCTACATCTATTTACACTGTTATTTTTTCCACTGACCCTGCTCACGCTCATTTATCAACCGTCTTCTCTAGTTAAAGCATTCCAGGTCACCGAATGTTATCGGCGATTACTTGATGCTACACTG